TCTCTCTCTCTCTCTCTCTCTCTCTCTCTCTCTCTCTCTCTCTCTCTCGAGTCTGCATGAATCTCCAGAAACGTGGAATTGCACAATCTCGATTGGGAGGAATCTCGTTAAATAGTTTATCATATATAGGATATTAATAAGGTGATGGTATGTCAGATTCATCGATCGAAGGATTCGATACCACATTTATTTTTTAATAATTTTTTAATCCGAGATGATAATTTTTCTTAGAATATGATATTTTTAAACTTCACCTAATCGGTGCACCACCATAACTAGATTTAATTGGAACACATCGAGTTTAATCAACTTTAACCATAATTTTATCAAAAAAAAAAGTAATGAGTTGTTTCTGGGGATCAGATCAAGTAAAGACGAACAATTATTCTCATATTCATGGCCTCGTTCCTTGAGACAATCGGTATCATCGATAATTTTATATAAATTCTTGTATAACATAATTTTATAGAAAAAGCGGGAAACATCCTGCTAAACTATTTCTTCGGACCGTCTCCGTTGCAAGTCGAGATGCACATGGCAAGTGAACCCATAAGCTATGTGAAGGGTCCCCATGGATTTCGCCAAGAATGTTGCGGATGATTCAGCTTTGTAATAAATCAAGAGAGAGAGAGAGAGAGAGAGAGAGAGAGAGGAGAGTGAATGACTGACGACAAAAGAATGGTGATGGAGGGGAGGGCAAATTGATCGGTAAAAACATGTTAATAGTAACTGTTCTGATTTGGATTTATAAGAGGCTTGGCTAGTATAAATAAACTTGGGTTAAGGTTCATTTTAACCTTTGTAATTTGATCATTTAAATCCGATTTATTTATATCTAAAATAATTTATATATTTTAAAAAAATATAATATATAAGCTTCTTTCAATTAACAAACGTTAGAATTTGATTACGTAATATGTTAACTTATAATAAATCATTAATATAATAATATATAATTTAAATTTTAAAAATAATTAAGATCAATTTTAGCTTCTATGGTTTTGGCTATAGACCACTTAAACTCTTATGATTTATTCATGTCTAAAATAATATATATTTTAAAAAATATAATATATAATAAACTATTAATATAATAATATATATAATTTATGTTTTTTATAAAAAATAAGGCCATCATCAATGGTCAGAGGAGGCGTCGTCATAGAAGCGATCGCTAAGGCGTCGTAAGCACACAACCTCTCTTGTACCAACGATGAGCTCAAGAGTTTTTGGTCGTGCCTTAGGTGGATGTATATCAACCAATCCATCGCTTGACACGCAATGGTCTCTTGGTCTCTCTTTCTTCTCTTGGGTGTCTTTGTCCCCATTGCCTCCCATATCATCCTCTCCTACGCCTCTACCCACCATGCCTACGATGTAGTGGTCGAGCTCTCCCTCGCCTCTACTTTCGGCCTCTCCTACCTCTACCTCTCTGTCTTCGTTCATCATTACGACCTTCGTCGCTTCCTCTTCCTCGACAAGATGAACCTTAACTCTTTTTAAAACTTAAATTATGCGTATCATTATATTAATAATTTATTATGAGTCAGCATATCACAGACTCTAATGTCTATTTACTCAAGCTTAACGGAAGAGACTTATATGTTATGTTTTTTAAGATATAGGGATTATTTAGACACAAATAAACCATAAGGACTTAAGTGATCCAGGATCAAAACCATAGGAGCTAAAATGAGTTTTAATTTTTTTTAAACTTAAATTATATATTATTATATTAATTATTTATTATGAGTCTTAACGCGAGGTATTTATATGTTATATTTTTAAAAATATACGAGTAAACGATAAAGATTTAAATGATGAAAAATGATATGGCACCTTAACCCAATAAACTTTCTTATTACTTTTGAACTCTCAAACAACCCAGTAATCACTGGCCGATCAAAATGATACGTAGGAAAGTATTGTTACAGCTCCATTGCCCACATCAACGTAAACCTCTGCCCCATGTATGTATGTACATGTGAAATATGACCATTCTGTTCACGAACATTAAAGACATGGATCCTTCTTTTAACAAAATGATGGGAGATTAGAGGACAGTTAGGGTTCAGCTAAAACTAAATGGAAAACACTCACATAAAGATAGCCGAGTTGAGCCTTCATAAAAGAGTACTTGCCACGTTCACAAATGGAGAGGTGAGTGGTAAGTAAGCTGCTTTGAAGTATCCTGAAACATACCATATATATTTTTTTTCCAAAAACACAGAGTTAAACTATATTTATGGAAAAGTCTTGAACACTCATCACCTCTCGTCACGCCCCGAAATCCGAGATGTAACAATCAAATGATCACGAGCAAGACTAGTTCAAGTCTGATTATATTTTTTTTATTTTTATTTTTTTTGGAACCAATCTAATTCATGATCACGTATGTGAAAAATTAAATAAAATATTTAGTATGTAAACAAGACTCACTTATAGGTGAGTTAGTAAAAATTTAAACACATTATAACTATTCATATCACATAAAAAAGATAATATATTCAAATCAATAAATATAAGAACAACGAATCAATTTAATCGTATTCATGTGTTCAACACATCCTTTTATTATTTTCCTCTTCATAGTATACACATTATATATATATATATATATATATATATATATATATATATATATTCACTTTTATATTTTTTCTAGAAAAAATAATAATTAAATAGTCAGATGCATACTAAACCTAAGATAATCTAGCCCTATCTTATAGATAACATTCTTAGCAGTCTTGTACACCATCCCATGTCTTGTATATTCTCATAGGATGATAATATATTATCCTAAAAAATCATATGAGAATATATATATTTTTCTCTATAATTCCTCCTATAAAGTTATTACTAGGTATCACTCATATTACCTCATTAGCTTCATCTTGATGGACTTAAATAACATCCCTTTTATCAGTTCAAAGTTTACCATCCTTAAAATTCGTAATGAGATATAAATTCTAATAATTAAATTAATAAAAACTAACTTAAAAATATATAAATATAGATATTATTAATATTAGCACTGGTCTTCTATCATTTATTATAAATATATTTTTTTCTTCATATATTAATTTATAATTAGAATAACAATTTATAATTAAAATAATTATACATGGAACATATGGGAGCATGATACACACATTTCAAAGCAGTTGGTCAACCATCGTTAAATCCCGAAAGCTCCAGTTTGTCACTTACATAGTAAATGATTTTGCCTACAAAAGAGAGTTGATGAAAATTTCTAAAACATCCCATCTGCAACTTTGTGGCTTGGAATATTCAAACTGGTGTAGGCTTACTGGTCTCAAATAATGGCAGATAGGTCATATTGACAAGGATCCTATGAATCTGCACTACCATCGATGCAAACCTTATATATATATATATATATATATATATATATATATATATATACATATATATATATATACATATATATATACATGTATATATATATATA